TTTCATAGGCTTGAGTCTCATTGTAGGTGAATATAAGGTCAAAAAAAAGAGAGCAGGCCTGGAAAAAGAAGCAAGCCACAGTATTGGTTCGACCTTGTTTTTGCACCTTGCTCGGAGCGTCAGGAAGACCTTGTGGAGCGTACCTAGTCCCGTGTCCTCTGCCAGAGCATTCGTGATTTCCAGCATTGGACCATTGACCTACTACATTCCCAAAAATTTCTCCGGCATCGTCAGTGAGAGGCGCCATCGTAAGCACAGATGTACAACTTATCAGAATGACAAGTAAGGGCAATAACCTTGGTCAATTTTCCGTTCAACCGTTGTGGCATCATTCCTCGCTCATATCTTTTGTTCTATTTTCTATTGTCGCATCTCCTTCTCGGAACCGCACTTCATATGACCCATCCACTTTTTCACACAATCCTGTGCACTAATTTATTCGAATGTTGCCTAAGAGAGGCCACACCATCTTGGTCTTAATATCTACGACTCAAGCTACAACCTTAATTAAGCTTCTTCTTCTTCTTATTGCTATTATTCAGGTAAGGATGGGAAGTTTAATTCTCATTCACTCAAAAGCGAGTACCCTTAGTTTAACGAAGCACTATTTTAAGATGCTATTAGCAAGAATGTCATCGGCAACCTTTTCAGCTGTATTTGAGATGTATTTCCATCCCAAGCACAAACTGCAGGCAAACTCTAGAATAAACTGCCCAAATTTTAGGCAAAGACACAATAAAAGAGCTGTTCTACAGTGTCCAAAGCTGACCTCTGCAATGGCATGGCTGTCTCAGCCCTAACGTATAGTTTGGACCATATAATCTGGGCTTGTGCTTGTATCCGATCATAGATAGAACCGCCTCTTCAGCAGCAGGCCAAGCAATTCTGGCTAGCCAGCCCAGACCAAATGGTTCTTCTCGATCAGAATGCTGTTCCAACCGGAGCGATGCCCAAGCCTATGCTTAACTAATACCATATGTTTTAATGAGAGATGATAAGCTGTCATGCGAGTTACTGGGTAAAATCTTACCCATAATCTGCACTTCGATGTGCCTGGGTCGTTCTATGAAGCGCTCAATGAACATGGCTCCATTTCCGAAAGCTGCCTTAGCTTCTGAACTTGCTCGCTCAAAGTTTTCTCTAAGCTCCTGTACGAAATAAAAAAAATAAAATTTACAACATACGTTATGCAAAAGTTGAATTTAACGACGAATAATAAAATTAGGGAACGGACAAGAGAACCAAATTGTAAATTTAATAGGAAATTCATTTCTATGGCTAAGCCATACACATGAGCTGAAAGCTCGGCATTGACGTTTTTTCTAAAAAACAGCATTTATAGAGAGTATCTGATAGGTATGTGAGTCTAGTGCAAATGTGAGATTAATCAACTAAGAATAAATCATACTGTTATTATGGAAACGGGAATGCGGATTACGACAACTGGAGTAAAAATGTATGGGAGCCCAAAAAGATGCAATAACAAGTGAAAATACGAAAATCCAAAAAATATGTAAAAAGGCACAAAACGAGAATCACAAAGATGTATAGGAGACATAAAGAAACATGTGAGAGCACATGTGAACTAAGTCAGGCGAAAAAGGTAGAAGCATAAACTGACCTCCATACGCCTCACGACTCGCATGCCTCTGCCGCCTCCACCGTATGCGGCCTT